TTTTGATACTCTAGGCTCTTTTTTCTATATCTCCATCAAAATGCTAATTAGTATAAAGTTGAATTAAATCTAAAGGATAGATTGCATTCTTACTAAGAACAATTTCAAAAGGGCTATATCCAATGGTTTGACTTGGTGAATGGTTGTAGGCAAACTCCACTTATAGTAAAACAAGTTCCCATTATTTTAGTTTTTTTCCCAGATAACTTTTTAAGAAAATTTTCAAGCTGTGATTGATAACTTCAGTTTGCTTATTAGTTTGAGAATGATGAGAATGATTGTAATTAAGACTAGTAATAAGCTTCCTCCAAAGGGTGTACTAAAAATGACTTAAAAACTTGAAATCTTGATTGAACACCATAAACTTTAGAATATCATGTAACTTCACGCTCTTTCTGAAATACCAATAAAAAACATGAAAAGTATCTATGGTTTTGTTATAAGCAATAGAATTTACCATCTTAAAAAAAAAATCCACAAACACCATGATGGAATCCTTATTCTGTTGAATACTTGGCAATCCCACTACAAAGTCTAAGCTAAAATTATCCTTTCCAAAATGTTCTCCCAATGTACTATCATGAACTTTGGTAAAAATAGCTTGTTTTTTAGGACTATACAAGCAATTAGCTTTGAAGAGAAAGCCATCATGATTCTTGGCAATGTGGCACATTGTACATCGTTGAAGGTGTTCCATCACATCCTTCTCCATTCTTGGGCTAATAAAACTTATCCTTTAAAAAAGTAAGTATTTTATCCTATCGAAAGTGTCCACCTAGTGCACTATCATGAGTCTTATTGATTAAGGCTTGTCTCAAAGAACATAAGGAATGTAAAGGCTGTTAGCCTTGAAGAGATATCCATTATGCAACAAAAACAGGTTGTGTGGTCCTTACTTCCATTCTTCTTAAATTTGGATAAAATAAAGATTTGTCTCATAGAGCTCTTTGATTACAATAAATCCAATAACTTCAATAACCATATTTCTTAGCAAGAAGTGCTTTCGACTTAAATTATCCGTCACTACATTCTGAGTTCTTGATTTGTTTTTGATAATGAAGTTGTAGACTTGAAGGAACTTCACCCAAGCTGCATGTCTTTTATTAAACTTATGTTAGCTATTGACAAACTTCAAAGCCTCATGGTCTGAATATATGACAAATAGCTTAGGGAAAAGATACTGACTCCAATGGAATAAAGCCCTATAAATGGCGTAAAACTTTTTGTCATAAATTGAATACCTTTTTTTTTGGCTTCATTGAGCTGCTCATTGAAAAATGCTATAGACTTTCCTCCTTGACTTAAAATAGCACATATTTCAGAATTGGATACATCATATTCCACCTTAAATACTTGATAAAGTTTAATATATAGGGATAAGATGAGAGCTTCACTGATTTTAGTCTTAATGAGCTCAAAGCTATGTTAGGCTTCTTTAGTCCATTTAAAAGCTTTATTCTTTAAAAAATTGGTGATGGAAGCCATAATGAAGCTAAAACTCTTAATAAAATGCCTATAAAAAGATGTATAGAAGTTTTGGATATCATGCAAAAATGCTAGTATTGGCCAATTTAAAATCGCCTCAACTTTGCTGGGATCTATATTTATTCCTTCATTTGACACCATAAACCCATTTATTCATAGAGACCATTGTTTATCTTAAAAGTTATTTTCCATTGATATCCAGACCTCATTCTAATTTGATGATAACCATTGCGTAGATCTATCTTGAAGAAAATAATTGCTCTATGTAGTTGGTTCAGCAAGTCATCTAAGTATGAAATAAAAAAACAATAATCAACTATGATTTTGTTGACTGCCCTATTATCTATACACATGTGCTATGATCCATCTTTCTTAGGCACTAAAAGGGTTGGGACTGCATAAAGGCTCATGCTTTCACACACCATTCCTTTTCTCACTAATTCATCAACTTGGCGTTACAACTTCGCATGCTTTTTAGGACTTATCCTATAGGCTACCTTATTGGGTAGAATAACTTTTGGGATAAGGTTTATATAGTGTTGAATGTCTCTTATTGGTGGTGGACCAGCTGAAAACTCTTCATGAACAACACCTTGAAATTCTACCAATAATGGTTGTATCATTGTAGGGGGCTTCTCATTATCTTTATTCTCTGCAATCAACACTAGTGTATATAAAGTATGCCCATTTTAATTTTTTTCCTGTAATTGGCCTTGGTAAACAAGTTGTTTCTTTCCCGTTTGATTGGTTTTGACATCATCATGGGCTCAGTAGGGCGTACGATAATTTTACATCCATCTTTCACGAATGTTTCGATAACCATCATAAATGACCCTCTTATCATAATGCTAAGATCTTTTGAGTAGTAAATGACAAGCATCCATTAGAGCTACATCATATCATATTTCATCATTGTATTGCTTTCTTATGAAAAAAGAATCAAACACCTTTTGCTAACTTTGATTTCATTCTCTTTCTACAGTCAAGATAGCTTATATGATTGGGGGTGATCCACTACCTCGAGACCTAATTTTTGCATCATAAAGGTAGAAACAATGTTTTCAAAACTTTCACTATCAATTATAATATCACATACCTTTTCATAGATAGTACATTGAGTGTAAAATATATTTTTATGCAATCAATCTTCTTTCTTAGCATGTGCAGTACTTAAGCTGCATTGTATAACTAAAGATGCTCTGTAATCGCTATAGGTTACTTTTTCTTCCTCTTTAAGGTTTTGATTCTCTTTAGCTAGCTTTTCTGTATTTTTCTCAAAGTCTTTTTCTACTAGAGTCATAATCTTTTTATTTGGGCATTCTAAGGCATTGTGTCCAAGCCCTTGACATTTAAAATGCCTTTTGGTTTATATACTAGACTAAGGCTTGCTTGTTGAGGTTTCGTGTTTCTTTTAAGGCTATTTTGGAATAGATTTAGAAGGAACAATAGTCTTGGATGAGCCACTTTTATTGATATAGCCTTTTTGGGACCTAAATTTCAAGTTTTTATTATGGGCCTTTTTTTGTTATCTCTCTACCTTAAGGGCAAGCTTGCATGCATCATTGAAAGTCTAATAAGGTTGTAGCTGTATCACATTAACTTTCTCAATCTTCAATCTTTCAAGATATCGAGTAATAGTTTGCTCTTCCTATTTCACCAATTCACATTTTAGTATGAAGTGGTCAAACTCAGTCGTATATTCCTCTACTAAGAGATCTCTTTGCTTCAAGTTATGGAGCCTAAGGAAGACATCTTATTAAAAGTTGTTTGAAAGATACTTTCTTTTTAACTCTCTTTTCATTTTCTCCCAAGGTGTAATTTTTCTTTTGCCTTCTTTTTTTTCTTGTTTCTTTAAAATTTTCCACCAAAATGATGTATGCTTTTTAAGTTTGATGGCCACTAGCTTTACCTTACAATGTTCAGAGGCATCATGGTATTCAAATACGCATTCCATTGTGTGTAGCCAATCTAAAAATTCTTCATGTTACATCTTTCCCTCAAACTTAAAAATCTTTATCTTTCGATTGAATATGCTAGATTGAAGTTAATTTCTGCTTAGATAGTCTCTGACTTACTGTGGGTGAAATAAGGTGTTATTATCAGAATCTTTGTTATTTTCATGGTATGAATTTGTTTCTCCTTCATCTTCTTTATTTTTTTTTATTGCCTCATTATCTTTTATTTTTCTTCTTGTATATATAGCTGATGTTGTAGTTAAATGATCTGTTTTCGCATCTCCTCTATGAAGGTATCCCTAGGGTTAATATTAGTAGTTACCGCAATATCGGTGTTGACTTCAAACTTTTTTACTGGTGCTTGATGACGATGATCTGTCATAGCTCTAATACTAATTTAATGCCAAGAATTGATGTTTATGATGTGGAGATTAACTGCAAACATAAAAATTCACAAACAAGATAACTCACAAGAATTTGAATAACGACAAAATATGATTTTTGGATTAAAAAGGGATAAGAGTTCACTACAAAGACTAGAAACTAAGGAATACAAAAATATCACTATAAGAATTCTAATCAAGGATATAAAATAATAGAAGTTTACCACTCTAAAAAATTTACCTAAAAGATATAAAACTTAAAGAATAATCTAAAAGATTACTTAAGGATAAAGAAAACTCTAATTTACCTTATACCAAGGAATAACAACAAATAAATAGCTAGGAACATCCCTCAAAGCATGAAAACTTCTATATTAAATTACTAGAATCATGCCTAAAATCAATAGATTTGTATGTAAACACTGTACTCTGTAGTGTGAATGCAATTATTTGTCCATTTACTTTTGTAGATTACATATTGTTATGGTTAAAAATAAGTTTGAATTGAACAAATTACATTGAAAAAAATTTGTTTAAAACGTGTGATTAGAAATTTTAAATATTTGGTGTTGTTGTAAGTAATTAAAATATAAAAAAATAATATATATAAAATAATAAAATATTAAAAATATATAGATAATAAAATGATTTTTCTCTTAAACGTATTTTTTTATGGCAAAAACATCAAATTTTTTATTTGAGTTGAAAAATCAAAATTTTATATAAAAAAATCAAAATTTTTTTATTATTTAATATTGCATTTGGATTAAAAATAATTTTTGAAGGCAACAAATTTTTTCAACATCAACGGTAAACGAGGACTTATAACGGTTGGTGGGCTATGCTATGAACGGGAACGACGTTTCCCGTTTAGGAATCGAAAAATCAAAAGCACTATTGACGTTGAACCTTACCCTATGTTTTATAAATATCTATATATATATATATATATATATTCTTTTTTTCTTGGCACGGCATGATATAACGGCGTTATCAGCTATCTCTTCGCTACATATAGGAACCCGTAGGCTCCCATGATTCAACTTTTCTAGTTTTTGAACATCTCTTCCCTCTCTCTCTTTTTCTCTTTTTTATATTCATCTCTTTACTGCAAGATTTTAATTGTTGCGTGAAGCAAAGTTTGGAATATTGGTGTTTTATTTTTGGTTTTCTCGAAATGTGGAAGAAAGAAGATCAGTTGAGAGATGAGAAAGCGAAGGAAAGAGTTGAAGCTGTTCTTCAACTTGTTAGGAAACAGTCTCCATTAACTGTGAAGCAGGTGGGGTTTTCTCAGTTTTTCAGATCTTTCTGTCACCAAACAACAATTATGAGGGAGGGTTTCTTTTAATTTCACTACTCCTTTCATTTTTTTGCATATAGTGCTTCAAACTTTTTTCATCAACGGTTTCATAAAAAAATCTTATAGCCAATCATTTTCTCGTACCAAGGACATAAGATTCCTGTGTAGCTAGCTGAGGTTTTCAAATTCTGATGTGATTTATTGTTTGTTTCATGAAACAGGAGAAGTACTGCAACAATGCTTGTATTGAGAGGTTTTTAAGGGCAAAATGTGATAATGTGAAGAAGGCTGCTAAACACTTACGAGCTTGTCTTTCTTGGAGAGGGAGTATTGGCACTGGTAACCATTTTTTGTCTTTCTATTCTTCTTCTTGTTTCCATAGCTTCTTTTTCTTTTTGTTTCTTATGTATCAAAGAGTCTTGCTTTTGCATTTCAAATTGAACGTTAAAAGTTACTCAAAGGGTTTCTTTTCCTTTTCTTTTCCTGGGTTTTTTTTTTTAATTTGTTTTGGATATATACAGAAAATTTGATAGCAGATGAGTTCTCAGCTGAGTTAGCTGAGGGAGTTGCTTATGTAGCTGGTCATGATGAAGAGTCCAAACCTATCGTGGTAATTTTCAACTCCCATTTGTTCTCTTTTCCACTAAGCTAATTTTCTCAAGAGTTGAAGCTAGAAAATCATTTCTAGGAATTGAAAATCTTGTTCTGTTTGTCTTTGTTACAGATTTTCAGCATCAAACAAGATTACCAAAAGTTCCACTCTCAGAAACTGTGAGTAACACAAATTCTTGTCTTCTTTTTCTTGTTAACTAAGGAAAACAAGATCTAAATTTTGTTGTTTTTTTGTTTGTCATGTTTTTAGGCTTACTCGTTTGCTGGTTTTTACATTGGAGGTTGCTATAGGAACCATGCCCAAAAATGTAGAACAATTAGTTCTACTCTTCGATGCAAGTAAGTTTTCACAATTCAAATGACTACAATACCCTTACAAAATCCAATGAAAAACTCCACAAAACTTTGAAACTCGAGTTACTTTTGAGTCATTTTGTGTTCTGTGTCGTCATTGCACGCCGCTAGAGCAGTTTTATAATAATGTAATAAATGAGAGAAAAAAGCCCAAGACATGTAACCATGTCGAACAACCCGCAGGTTCTGAGACAACCTTAGATAATGTCCGGAGTGCCCCTTGATGTGTCAAAGTCAATATCACTTTTGTAGGGGATTATAGGGTATTATCGGTAATTGGACTTGTTATCATTATTATTCTTTTCTACACTTGGGAACTCCAGAAGTACCCAGGATTCTACTTTTTAAAGCTTTTATCTCCAATCCTCTGTAAATGTCGGACTTTAAATTTTTTAATCATAAATTAGTAAAAAAAAAAAAAGAAATTGAATTTATTAATTTGTAAAGGGGATTGGGGAATTTGCTGATGATTCTGAGAATTTTTTTTTTTTTTTTTGTTTTGGACAGGCTTTTTCAGATCAGCATCGGCTTTTATGAACTTATTGCTGGCAGCACTGAAAATTATGGCCGAGTACTACCCTGGACGACTTTACAAGGCTTTTGTCATCGACCCACCTTCGCTGTTTTCCTATCTTTGGAAGGTAATTTAAAAACTCTGCCCACTTCTTTGTTGGTACTTGTTGCGTACCAAAACTTTTTGGAAAAAATAATAATCATAAGTCTAATTCTGTTAAACCTGAAATGCTCCCCGTTTGATCATCACAAGCTTAAGTCAAATCTTACACTCTAGTTTTCTCTTGGTGGGTCCTTTTATTCCATCTTGATTATCGGATGAGTTTGAAATTACATAAATATGATTCTATTTGTATTTATATTATATAAAATATAGTTAATTCATATATTTATTTTATATTTATATGATAATTATATATGATAATTTATAAAAATATAAAATATATATTTTTACTTTTGATAAATTTATATATGATTTTTTTAAAACTTTTAAAGTATTTCGCATTTGTTTTTTTAATATATTTTCATGAAAAATTACGTGATCATTTGCAAATTTTTCGGTTAATAACTTAGTTTCCATGCATTTGAAAATTTTGACTAGTCTAGAATAATGAGGCCTAAATCTAGTGTAAAATTAAACATTCTCTTCTTCTGTAGGGTGTTCGTCCATTTGTGGAGCTATCAACGGCAACGATGGTGGTATCATCACTAGATTTTGAAGAATCACTAGAGTTTAACGACTTTCCGTCGTATTCAACAGTCACATCTCTCCGGTTTGACCCCTCAATGAAATCAACGGCTAAGATCGGCTCATGTTCTTCCTCCAGATTCTCCTTCACCGTATCACATCATTTTGACTCTCTCAAGCCTTGGTACCTCACCTTGACTGACACGTCATCATTCAAAGTTGGACCCACAAGCCCCTCCTCCATCTGCCCAGCTCTGATCTCCCCCCTCAACGCTAGGTCACTCTCCTTTGCATCACCGGCTGCCAGGACCCCACGTGGTAACATCACCATGAGGAAGAGCTTATTCCCATCTACACCTCTACCACAACGTAGCAAAGCCAGTGGATCCGTCAAAGCCAACTATCCGCGAACCCCACGGCCATTTTTTCTGCGATCACCTGCCACGTTTTTTGGAAGGGATTGCCACGTCAGTACCAAGACAGAAAAGTCTCGAGAGTCGTTCTTGCCATTTTTTAAGTTCTACAGGAGGCCGTACGATGAGATGATATACAGGTCAATGATGCGGCCCCCATTAGGTGGCCTAATCTCCATAGTCAAACGTCGCCACATGTCAGTATCACAACGGTTTTAATCCAAAATTAAAAAAAAAAAATGCATAGAGCTACTGGTTAATGTTACGAAAACATTGAATTTTAGTGTAATATTTAATTTTATATTTAAATTTTAAAAATTATTAATTTAATATTTAAATTATAAATTTATTAATTAATGTGATATTTATTTTTATTATAATTAATTTTAAATGATAATATATGATAAATAAATATCTATTCAAAAATCAATATATTTATAATTTAAATATAGCATTAAAAATGTTTAAATTCAAATATAATATTATAAATTTTACTATAATTTAAAAATTATTCATAATATTAATCCATATATTTACATTGACTTCAAGTGTTAAAAGAACACAATCTTCATGCTGCTGGTGCTGTAATTATTAATTTGATTAGCACGAGGAAGAGAAATGAATGAGTTGAGGGAGACAACGTGCGAGGTGGGATGTGAGTTATTGTGCAAAATTTGAGCATTGTTGGGCTAAAAATTTGTTTAATTAAAGTCGGCGTTTGGAGGACATGGGAAGAAGACACCGTGGTCGAAACGTTGAACATTGCATTGGAAATCATTGTACCAAATAAAACCAAAGCGTTGAAAAAAATTTACGTTGGTTTTTTTTTTTTCAAATGTTTTAATAGTTCATAGTTGATATTAATATATTATTTGTTTTAAGTTTTGGGAGATGTAGAATCTATGACTTTTTAATGTTTTACTTTTGTTTTGCGCCAAAAAAGGAGCATTTGAGTTTGAATCTTCTATTTGTATTGATTATAAACATTTTCATATGATATGTCATATTATTTGTTTATTATGCATTGGTTTCAACTTAGCAGAGTTGGGTGGGATTGTGTGTCGTTTTATGTTGTTGTAAGAAGTCAAACTCAAAACAAAGAGCTTCTGATTCTTTACTTGTAGTATGAAAGGAGAAATTTGGGAAGAGTAATTCGTTTTGGAAAATGTAAAAAACAGAAAAGAAAAGAAAAGTAGGAGTGTCGTCGTGTAAGAGATGTCATTTTGTGTTTGGAAATTTACTGCTACCATCCATGGTGAAAATTTTTGGGGTTTGGGTTTGGGAGGAGAGTGTAAATTTAGGGCCAGAAATGAGGGTACGATTACAGAGAGAGAGAATGTGTGGAGTTCATCCTTTGTTGTTTGCCACGTTGGGAAGCGTCGCTTTCGTTTGGATTTTTGGGGCATATCCAGGGAATGGGATTGTCATGGGATTTTAATTACTGAGCGTCTGAGCGGTGTGATGCGTCTGTATTTATTAGTCTCTGCAGGATTGTTTAGATTCAGTGAGATTCGAGCATTCCCTCTTTCTTTTTTCCTTTTTTTTTTTAAATTTTTTTAAAAGGAGGTCATAATATAAAAATAAAAAAAATTATAAGTGTTAAGAGTTAACTTCACATATATTGAATATCACTGTAAATCAATCAAACTAAGTTTTGGGGTCCTTTACTCTGTGTTGTTAATTTTATCAAGTTGACAAATATAAAAGCAATCTTTCATTGAATATGTTCTGCCACCTTGATTTTTCAATGTATTTCTTTTTCCATACAAGTAAATCTAAAGAATCCCTATGCTTAAAAAGTTAAGACATGCATGCATTCACAAACATACAAATTCATTAAATTTGAAGTCAAGCTACCACTCACATTGAATAATTACTATAGAAATGGTTAATGACTGAGTACTGTACTTGAAAAGGATTTCGATACCTTCCTAGGAAACCAATCTAACTGTTTACCAACATTCCTCTCTTCTAGTAGGCTGTGGTGAAGCCCATTCGTTATAGGTCTAAATAACGCAGCAAATTCCTCTACCCAGAACAACACCTAATTAAATCATCCAAGATCCATATCCACAAAGTTTAGAATATGATGATGCTGGTGGAGGATGATTAGACTAGTAGATTAAGGACAACAGTGTTTTTTTGGTCATAGAATTTACATGCAAAAGCAAATTGATTAAATTCCATTTTTTATAGGATTCAAAGGCATATTCAAATTTTATTTTAAAGTTTCAAAGATGTATACTTCCATATTCACATCTGCCTTTCTTGGTGTTCTTCCTACTCCAGTAACAATGATTCCTCAATTTGCTGTTACAAATTCTTGCATTTTCTATGCTTGAATAAGGCTCATTCATGACCTGCAGTTGGCCAGCCAGTCTCCGAGAACACAACTTTGTCATCCTCCTTGCCCTTTGCCCTCACTATTGCTGCTATAAAGGCGTATACCATAGGATCAGATAGATTATAGTACACTAATGGAATGACGGGCGTTTGAGACTGAAACAAATTAATCATAGTCTAATGAAATATGGTTAGGCTCTGAGGCAAGGGCAAAGGAAGGGTACAGATAGATTAGAAGTGGTGAGCCTTTGCCATAGAGATAGCAAGTCAGATTGCTCATATAATTTGATTAAATTGGCCCCGGAAAGGGGGTATGAGGCGCCTAAGAATCTGCTTCCAAGTTCCAACAGCTAATTGGCTCTTGGAGATTTGCTATGGCTCTTAGGGCATAAGATGCTTGGGATCGCATTACTGCCTGCGCAGAGATATCGGAACCCGACACCTCTTCGGATGTATGTGACAATGTGGTCTTGGAACCACTTATCTGCAGCTTCTTGGCTTGATGCCACACGCGTAATTGCCTCATTTGGAACCCCCTATTGTCACTACCACATTGGTTCCACTCAATGCCTCTTAAGATTTCAAGGTTGGCATATTGAACCCTAATCAATTAGATTTTGTCGTTCAATTCTGTTGAGAGGAAACCAATGGCCCGTCTAGGAGAAGGCAGATTTTCTTCCATAATTGATGCCAGTATCATCACCTGGAAAAAAAAAAAAATTATAGGCTACGGTAAGGAGAAAAATTTACTCACCGAAGACTGTTAATGGGTGCAAAATAAGGACTACACAAATCACGACTCTCATTGCAGTTGCCGGTGCCATCTTCTCCAGATTGTCTAATCAACATAAACGGAATATACATAAATATAAAACAGTAAGAAATGAATGAAACATAGTAAAAAATATATGGTCTAGTAGTCTGAACCCAAAAAATCCTTGCGTCCTGAGGGGTTGTAAAGGAAGAAAAAGGAAGAATATACATAAATAACACCAAACATGCTTTATTTCATTACACCAAGCTCACATCTATGGAAGTATGCAAACACAGAACACAACTGTTCTAGCTGAAAACTGGTTCTCTTATGGACCAAAAAACATAAAATATTCAAATAAAAAACAGTAAAGGAAGAGCATCAATTTTATATTTTCTTCTGCACTGTCACCACGTCCAGAGTTGACCCGTATGCTCTATGCAGAGCTTCAGCGCACCAACCATGCCCATCATCAACGGTTGGCATCCTTACTTCCATTACTGGAACTACAGGTTGTTGAGAACCTGGCAGAATGACCCCAGCCAAAACTCTGAGCACATTTGATGCATCAATGTCCATGCAGACATTTATCTCTGGAACTCCTTTAGGTGCTGGAGGAATTCCCATAATCTTGAAATAGCCGAGCAGATGATTATCTTCTGCCTTCTCCGCTTCACCTTCATAGACAACAATCAATACGTCAGTCTGGCTATCATGGACAGTCGTGAAGATCAGTTCTTTCCGAGCTGGCATTGTAGTGTTTCTAGGTATAATGGGCACAAGTGTATTCCCATTAGCTCGTATCCCAATTCCAAGAGCTGTTGCTTGAATAGTTAACAAGTCCAAGCTGCCAAAAGGATCACTGATACCTGAAGCCACTGCTCCTTCTAGTGCAGCCCCACACACTGCTGCTTCTAGTGGGTTCATACCTTTGTAAAGTTCTTCTCTTTTACATACACTCTTAACAAGATTTCTTATTTTTGGAATATATGAACAGCCACCCACAACTATTACATCAGTCAGATCATCTATCTCTACCTTTGCATCATGTAAGCATTGGATTGTCACACTCTCACACTTCTCAAAGATCTTCTGGTTTACCTCTTCAAATTCCTCCCGATTCACCACCTTACATATTCTTGTCCCATTACCCAAGTCTACATCAATTTGGACACTCTCTTGGAAAGAGAGCTTGTGAATGGCATCCTGAGTTGCAACTCGAAGTAATCCCATTGACTTGATCTCATTAATACTGTGGCTTGAGAAGAGTTTCTCTGAATTCGGCAAGAGATGGCGCATCATGTTCTGAAGAAGGTCTTCTCCTCCGGTTGCACTTCCAGCTAAGGCTTTAATCTGTGAAACTCCTCCAGCTGTAGCTGTCACAACAACATCACAATACCCTGCACCCATATTAAAAACGAGAGCAATCTTTTCACTTCCACTGCCCATATTGTCATGTATCATCTGTTGTTGCTGCTGTGCATATAGTAATGCCACAGCAGTTGGTTCAGGCATCAATCTAAGAACATGAAGACCAGCCATAGCACAAGCTCGTTCAATTCGAGTCAATTGAAACCGGCTAAGAGAAACTGGGATTGACAATACAACATTCCTTATAGGCCGCTTCAATTGAATTTCAGCCATGATTCTTAATTCAACCAGAAATATTGCAAGAACTTCTTCAGGTGTAGTGGATCTCCAAACATTGTTCACCAAGGCAGCAATAAAAGGACGAACACCAATGTCCAAAGTCTGAACTAGAAAAGGAAGGTTTTTGCTTGCATGAACAACTGGATCAGTGTCAACTCGTCCAATAAGACGTTTCATGTTGAAGATTGCAGCCCCGGATAACATTTCGTGCTCATGAGAAAGTTGATTGCTCACTCCACCTGAAGGAATTTCATCTTTGAATGTAACATATGAACGCATCAACTTCTGGTTCCTAGTATTCTTGAGAAGCTCTACTTGTGAGCCATTCCAGATAGCGACGCTGCATTGTGAAGTTCCAATATCAATTCCAATTGCAATTTCTGGAAAAGCAGACGAAGATTTCCCCTCCCCTGTTGTTTCACTGTCAGATGCCACAGTGTACGCTGGTTCAGCCATTCCTGCACTTTGACAGAATAACTAAACAACAATGACATTTATCCTATACTCATGATCAATGAAAAGGAGCTTCTAATAATCATATACACTTGTGAAAAAACAAGCACAGCAAAAATAAGAAGTTGGAATCAGACTTCAAGTATTTTTCTCTGATCCTGAAATATATTTAGTCCCTTAGTAACAAGAAAATTGAAAAACTTTTTCTAAGTCCTTGTCCACGCATAAAATATAATGCCACAACAATATCTTTCAATTCTTTTATAAAAACTCAATTTCACAAACTTATGAACCATATATTGCCTCAAAACAGTACATTTACTATTACTATAAAAGTTTTAGCCAATTCAAAAACCATAAACTTTTTATTAAGGAAAAAAAAAGAACGAAAAATGATTACTGTTCAATCCCAGCAAGTCACAAATGCAATGTTAATCTCCCATCCTCATGCGTATTTGAAGAAAGCTTATTTAAGTACCCAGAAGCAACCATTAGAATGGCATTTTAGCCTCAAACTTTGCAGGGTAACTACATCATGGAATTATAAAAACAATCATTCATGTAGGACTTTTTACAAACGCTTGAAATATACTACTATTACAAACCAATAGACAAAATCATGCAAGCCTGCGATTTCTAAACTCAAAACTCCACTATGAACATAAAACATATAGTCACCCATAAAGATAAAAAAGAAAAAGAGCGTTTCATAAAAAGCCATTCAGACTATAAACCCCAACACTGAAATTTCCCAAGTAGTTAACAACCCATCAGAAGAAGATCATAAAGCTGAAAACTTTTAGCTATCAAAAACAACACTGGTGGACGATCGAGTTCCTAAATTTCCAATAAAAAGCCATATCCGAACACTAAAAATCGTCCACTTTTGGGATAAAACAAAACCGACCCAGTTCTATAAACTATATATTTCACATCTTCGACATTCAAAGAAAACGAAAACAAGAAGCAAAGAACTGGTCATTCCCAAGCTGCATTGAAAAAAAATGGAAGAGGATTGTATAAAAGAAAAAAAAACGAGCTTCATAAAATCAATAACGAAAGAAGAGTGAGTAAGAGAAATGCAAACCTGCTAAAAGCAAGGGCAAAATAGTAAAGCCAAATTTGGAGACTGGAGAATGGTTTTTAGTAGAGAAAAGGAGAAGGTGGCTAAGAATGTAGAAAGTAGAAGAGGCGAGAAGAAGAGTTGAGAATCGAGACAGGTTGACTCTCTGCTTACGCACTGAGAAAAAATTCTAGAGTTTCCTAGAGAGAGACTGCTCTTTTCATAGGTATTAATAAAAGAAAAGAAAAAAAAAAAAAGGGAAAAGGAAGTATATATACTTCTTGGATAGTTGAAATTAATAAGTAAAAAAAAAAAAGTAATTTTAAGAATCATTATTTTGATAAATAGTGAAAAGAATAATTTATTATAATATATTTTTTTAATTATAATATTTTTTTAATAAAATAACATATAATAGATAAATATATTTTTATATTATTTAATTTGTATAAATAATTTTTTAAAATAAAATTAAGTATATTTAATATGATAAGATGTATTAATTAATTATTGATTTACTTTTAATTTTGTATTTAATTCAACATTTTAATTTATTCTAACAATAATTTAACTTATTTTGTTATTAAGACTTAAAAAATTATAAAATATTTATAAATCATAATATTATATAAAATACTTTTAAAAGAAAATTATCTTTGTAAAATACGTCTGTTATATAATCAAATCTAATGTTATAATAAAAATATAGATATAATAAACCTTTCATAAAAATAAAATTTTTTCGACTTTTTTTTCCTTAGTTTTTCTTCCTAATTGAGATATTAAGAAAGTTAAGATTATAAGATATGCCAAAAGTTATTGGATTTTTACTTTTTTTTTTAAATGAATAGTTTATCTAAATAAAAAAATAATTTTTTTGTTTCTATTATTTTTTTTTATTTTTCTTCCCCTCCTCTCAGTCCAAATATAGTGTAGAGAGTCATTCTTTTTCTTCCTTTATAGTTGTTTAATAAATTTTACTTATCCCTAAAATAAATAACAAAACAATTTTAAAAATAAAAATTGATATAGCATCACTAAATAAAATAATTAAACATCCAAATATTTGAGTTGGTGTTTGATTTTTATTTCAAAAATAAGATTTCAAATTTTGTATCTTTAAATAAAATAATTTTAATCAATTACTAAATGATTTTTTATTTTTAATCTTTAAATTTGAGTCATAACAAAAAATTTATAATATATAGCAAGAAAAAACTTATTTGTTTAAATAAATATTGGAAACTTAATTAAATTGATTCATGAGTTGTTATTAATTCAATTTCTAATACATAAAATCAATTTTTTTAATTTAATAATCTCATATTACAATATTTTTATTAAAAAAATACTTTAAATGAGAAGTGAATACATGAAATATTATTAGTTAAAATTGTAAATAATCTTACTTCCCTCACCATTTTCTCAACTATTTATACTTATCAACAATAAATATTAGATAAATTAAAAAATGAATCATCAGAATTCAGATCACGAGTTAATAAATTAATCTATAAATAAAATATTGAAATAAAATAAAGTATATAAATTATTGACACGAGTGAAAAAAAATTGTGTTGAGCTAGAAGTAATTTTTAGGGTTAATGTTTTCGAATAACTTCTAAACTATAATAAAAATATTTAATATAATATTTAAATTTTAAAAAAATTTTAATATGATATTTAAATTAAGAATTGATATTTATAATTAATATGATTAATTTTAAATAATGATACATAACACAAATAATTATTCAAATATCAAATTAACTAATAAATTTATAATTTAAATATTACATTAAAAATATTTTAAATTTAAATATCATATTAAATATTTTATTGTAATTTTAATACAATTTGTAATATTAGCTTTTTTTAATCATTTAAGTCATCTAATCAATTTACATAAGTACCGACATGGGCTTGGTCCGTTTTGCAAGGGAGTACTTTTTTTTTTTTTCAGTCAGGTTTTGATTTTTGTCGATGTGACAAAGGGTCTGATTGGGGCCCTACACTCCTATTTGGGCTCCTTAATTAAAATGGGCTTTTATAAGTAAATTTTAGCTTTTTTCCCCTTTCTATTTAACTTTGTTTATAAATAAAATGAATTTAAATTCATTTCTGCCCGATGGATCCGAACATATCAGCACACTCAAAAAAGAGCAATCAAAATCGTCCGATCTGCCATGAAAAAAATAGTATTGTCGAGAGATCAAACATTTATGTCGGTTAAATTATTGCTGTATTTAAAAAGTAAATTTAATAATTTATGTATTTATTTAATATTTATATATATATATATATAAAAGATAAAAATTATTGTATTATACTTTATGCCATTTGATTTTTATTAAATTTTTAAATAATATTATTTGTGTATTTTTTTTATTGTGTTATTGTATTATATTAAAAATTAAAAATTTTAATGCAATTAATACCATTAAATAGAAATAATAGTAGAAGTAGGATATTATATGACCCGCACCAAACAAAATAATGTCTCATCTAAACTCCAAAACTGTACAGAAACATATTCATCTTATTGTTTGTTTTTCGTACATTTGAAAACTCCATTTCAAGGTAAGATCATTTTCGTTCATATAATTGAAATTTAGGAAACGACCTTCTTGTTTTTCCATAGATATTTTTCCTTCACATATGTATAATTCAACTTTAGACAACTATCTTGTTTTTTTTCCATAGAAAACTGAACTACTTGGATATAAAGCCAGCTATCCATCCATGGTCCATCACTAAAAAATAACAATGGCACATTACTCAAAAAATTTCCTCTTCTTTCTCTTCTCCACCCTCTCCATTGTTCCCTTCTCCCACCAAATCCAACACCCTCTAGACTCTTTAACACCAAACGAGTTCATCCAGGTTCAAGCCATTGTTAAACAATCATACCCCACCTCCAACCACAACTTGACCTTCCAATACATAGGCTTAGAAGAACCAAATAAACAGGTTGTCATTTCCTGGCTGGAGAGCTATTCCACGACACCCCCACCTCGCCAAGCCCTGGTTATAGCACGTATAAACCATAAGACTTGTGAAATCATCGTTGATTTATCGCGTAACAGAATCATTTCTGATCAAATTTACAATGGTTATGGATACCCTTTACTCACTTTTGAAGAACAAAATGCCGCAGAGTTGTTGTTGTTTAAGCATGCACCGTTCTTGGCTTCCATAAGTAAGAGAGGGCTCAAGATTGAGGAGGTTCTGTGCGGAAGCTTTGCCGTAGGATGGTTTGGAGAGAAGAAAAAAAATGGAAGGATAGTTAAGGTTTTGTGTTATTATCTGGATGGGACAGTTAATTTGTACATGAGGCCTATAGAGGCAATCACTGTGACAGTTGATCTTGAAGAAATGAAGATCATACATTTTCAGGATAGATTCATGATCCCTGTGCCAAAGGCTACTGGGACAGATTACAGAGAGTCCAAGCAGAGGGCACCTTTCGGGCCACAGTTGAAAGGAATCACGGTTGTGCAACCAGACGGGCCTAGTTTCTCCATTGATGGAAACAGAGTTAGGTAAGTGCAGTAATGAGGGGCCAACTATGATTATTTATTTCTTATCCTGCCACTAGTTGTTGAAATTATTAGCCTATTTGTAAAGCTGTCTGAACTCATTGTTGAAGAGACAACATGTATATTAATGGTAGTGGTAATATCATACATAGGAAGGAAATTAAATGTCATATAGTAAATTCATTCTTAAAAAAATTAATCAAAAAAAAAAAAAATCATTCTTAAGATGAATAGGAGGCTTAACTCAGTTAATGTAGCACCTTCTACGACCTAGCATTGAGTACGTTTAGAGTTCGAATCTCAACTTATAATCTTTTTTTCTGTCCCTAGACTACATAAAAATAAAAAAAATCCATTCTTCAGTGATAATGACTTGTAGACTCCTACTAGAAATGACAAAACACTTCGTTTCAGTGTGGGGTTTATGTTCAGTTTCTGCTATCGCTTTTCCATAAGTTTTACTAGGTAAATTTGTACACATTTCCTTGGTTTGGTTTCCTTTAACACAATATTGTCCATTTGTTGATTTAAATCAGGTGGGCTAATTGGGATTTTCATATGAGTTTCGATGCTCGGGCTGGTCCAATAATATCTTTAGCATCGATATATGACACTGAGAAGCAAAATTTTCGTAGGGTGATGTATAGGGGATTTGTATCAGAGCTCTTTGTTCCATACATGGATTTAACTGAAGAATGGTACTATAGAACATTTTTTGATGCCGGGGAATATGGATATGGTCTATGTGCAGTGCCACTTGAACCACTTAGAGACTGCCCAGCCAATGCAGTATTCATGGGTGCATTTGTTGCTGGGCAGGATGGGATGCCTATTGAGATGCCTAATGTTTTCTGCATCTTCGAACGGAACGCTGGCGATGTAATGTGGCGACACACTGAGACTATGATTCCAGAAGTACTGGTATGTCAAAATTTCAGTAAGTTCTTGGTGGTTCTTATTGTAACTTCAGCTGAAGTTTTGAAAGGTTTACTAATGCAATGGAAATTTAATGGTTTTGCAGGTTACAGAGGTTAGGCCAGAAGTGAGCCTTGTAGTTAGGATGGTATCAACTGTGGGCAATTATGACTACATAAATGACTGGGAATTCAAGCAGACTGGATCCATTAAAGTCACAGTAAAGTCACATTAATTGGTTACTTTACTAATGTCATTAAGGATTTCTAGGTGCCTTTGTTTTGATTTTGTCTGAAATTACCATTCTTAACAGGTTGGACTATCTGGATTACTAGAAGTAAGGGGATCAAAATACAGCCACAAAGACCAAATACATGAGGAAGTCTATGGCACATTATTGGCAGAAAACACATTAGGTGTTCACCATGATCATTTCCTCACCTACTACCTTGATCTTGATGTCGATGGTGAATCCAACTCCTTTGTGAAGTCCAAATTGCAAACAACCAGAGTTACTGACCAAAGCTCACCTAGAAAAAGTTACTGGACGGTTGTTAGTGAAACAGCTAAAACTGAGTCAGATGCAAAAATTAAACTTGGCTCGGAGTCAGCTGATCTTCTAGTTGTGAATCCTAACAAGAAAACTAAAGTGGGTAACCTCGTTGGCTACCGATTGATCCCAGGATCAGTTACCGGTCCCCTTTTAACAGACGATGATTATCCACAGATTCGGGGAGCTTTCACCAAGTACAACGTGTGGATTACACCATATAACAAGTCTGAAAAATGGGCAGGGGGATTATATCTTGACCAAAGCAGAGGAGATGACACTTTAGCAACATGGAGCAGCAGGTATAGTGTTATTAAAGATTATTTTTACTTTTCCTTATTGGATTGATCGGTATTGCTATAATGTTGATTATTATTGGTTTAATATACAGGAATAGAAGAATAGAGAACAGGGACATTGTGTTATGGTACACATTTGGTTTTCATCATGTACCTTACCAAGAAGATTTTCCTTTGATGCCAACAATAAGCAACGGATTTGAGCTCCGGCCAGCCAACTTTTTTGAGAACAATCCCGTGCTTAAAGTAAAAGTTACTAGCTTTGGCAGGTGGCCTAATTGCTCCATATAACGCTTGGCATGAAAAATGTGAATTTGGTGCATTCAGCATGAAGAACACTAACTGACTTTCTTTGCTCCATTTTCACTCTTTACTTTTGAAGAGATAATCTTGATTTTCTTGGATTATAGCAAAGAAAAGAAAATTGTGGAGTTCACCATTTTGAAACCAACTCAACAGTGGTTCATAATTCAATGCAATGTTATTTAGTGAAGATCATTGAAACCAAATTACCAACAGAAAAGTGGTTCATGATTCAACTCAACTCTTTTTGCTCAACCAAATAAATCACCTTGGACACAAAGAAACGGGACTTTTCGGACTCATTATTACTCCAAAATACATAAAAATCGCTTGGTTTCTATCTTTTAGAGGGCTGATTTAGTGATATCATTGATGGATTCAAGCCCTGGTATTAGATTAATAAATCAAAAGAGCTAGATATGATCAAAATGGTGTATCATTTCCATAATGTGACTCTCTTTTTGGGATCAATTATCAACATAGTAATGCTGGTTATAAATGCAGGAGCAAGGGGATAGTATGTCTATGCATTATGTACATCTTTTCATCATCAAAGATTTTTGTAAACTCAATGCAGCAGAATTTAGCTTAGGCTAGAAAATTTGTTTGAGATCATAATCCAGTGCTCCAAGTGAAACCAGCTAAAGATGTCTTGTGGCTTAACTGTTCCCCATTACCTGCAGCTTGAAACTCTGATGTAGTTTGATTTCTGCTTGAAAAACACTAAATATCAGCAATAATTACATACTTTCCTTGCTAAGATTTTACTCATTGGAGGGGGTATCAAGCATTATATTTCAAAATCAACAACTTGTTGGCACTTGAAAGTTGTTAATTTGATTTGGACAACTTCACTGATTTTAAATGAGTAAAGTAACAACAGTTAATAAATTAGGCTTTTGACAAATAAATTGTTGAATTCTGGATTATTAACTTTGACTGGATGAATAATGAAAACCCTATCCGTAGTTTTCAAAAAGTATGGCATCTTAATGTTGAATTCAAGTAACATTAGAACTTTTAAAGAGACATAAACAAGATTCAGTTGGAAGATTGCTTGGTCATTTTGGTTGTACTTATTGCGTACACAAGCACGTGTATATATATATATATATATAAAAGATGCTCCAAAAATACTCTATTCTTCTGCATCATGTGGTGAGGTAAGCAACAATTTTGTATAAAGGAGAAGAGAAAAAGGACGGAAAATGATGAAACTTGAAAGGAAGGAAAGGAGAAGCCAAGAAGGAAAGGAAGAAAAGCAGAAGCCGAGAAGGAAAGGGAGGAAAGATTGTTTGGGACAAAAGAAAAGGATGGAGTCTGTTTAACGAGTATAAATTATATGCAACTTACTATTATAATACTTGGGCTGGGTTTTTCTTTCTAACTAGAAAAGAGAACTTATATTTTCATGAAAAGTAAGATTAAAAAAAAAAAACAAAAGACAGCTATTTTCCCGTCCTGTTCCTGGATACCAAACGATTTTTCACCAAATCTTCTTCATTCATTCCCCTTTTCCCTTTAATAACAAACTAACTAATGTTTCAAAGCCAATTGCTAAATTTTTAATTAGTAGACCGAAACAAATGAGCTTTATTCTTTACTTAATATCATAAATTATTCTTAAATTATATGATATCTAAATTTAAAATTTTTTAATATAATATTTATCATATGAATACGTTAATTAATATAATAATATAATTAATTTTAAATGATGTATGTAAAAAATTAATAATTATTTAAATATTAAATTAATTAATAAATTTATAATTTATATATCACATTAAATTTTTTTAATTTAAATATCACATGTAATATTTTATTATAATTTATGAGCCATCCATAATATTATCTCTTTTTCTTTTAACAACTCCATTAATCTTTCACGGTATTATCCTGGTGAGCATCTAACGGAACTTATTCAGCACGTGGTTCACTCAGGCTCAAGCCTTCAAGGATATCGTATTCCCTCACTTGCACAACTACAAGCAAAGCAAGTCAAGTATTCTTGCTCTTAGTGCAAGCAAGGACCCATTAAAATTTCAGCGATGTGCAATGTCCGCTTAGGATGGAAGAAATTTATTAACTGTAATTTTATATAAATATATAAAAAAAGCTTAATATTGAATGTTTATTATTTTGACGCGTGAATAATTTTAGATAATCAACATGCGTCATGTATTTAATAAATATATATTTTTAATTAATAAATAATTTAAAAAAATTAATTATAATTATTCACTTCTAGATAACTAATATTCTTACTTTTAATAAATAAATTACTATAAAATACATTAAATTACTATTAATCAAATTAAATTAAATGAATTAAACAAAAAATAGTTTTCTTTTATACTATAAGTTTTAATACGTTACAAAACAAGACAATTTAAAGACACCCTATATATATATATACACATATATACATATATATAATAATATATAAATTTTTTGTGAAACGAATCTGACAATGAAGGCTAGCAATTTTTTTTTTTTTTTTGTTATGGAAACAATTAAATTAATTAAATTTTAAAATTTTGACTTTTCACCCAAAATCATAAGGATTTTCCCTTGACTATAAATAGTTTATATTGCCTATCAATACCATCCCATGAAAGTGAATATCAGACATAGGTTTTAAATTTTACTAACTAACTTTTTTTATGTAATAATCAATAGGTGTTAAAACATTTTCCTTTGTGTTCTTTTTTTTAACACAATTTAATTTGTGCTATCTTAATTTATAGGTTTGTAGTATATTATATAATCCACTACTCTAGTTTTATACATTTTACGTTTTATTGATTCTTTTATTATTAATTTTTACATCATTTTGATTTATCATGTTATTCATGCACTATAACTTAAACATTGGAAAACAACTTAACCCCTTTACAATATTGTATGCTTGTCGTAGAGACGAGAGAATTTCATCTGCAATTTTTTTTTATTATAATCTTACAATTAGTAAATTATAATAAAAAATTATATAAAAATTTACCATTTAAAAGTGTGGATTCATTTATATAATTTTTTTATAAACTCTAGATAATATTAAATTATAATTAATTAATTGTATTATAGTAATTATAGGTGATATATTTTGGAAAGAGACACAATAAATATTAATACAGTTCCTTATATATCCAAAACAGTGAGCTTTCTTAAACCATGACTGTTTGGTTAATTTTTTTGTTTAGAGATAACCGTAGAAATATATCAAGAGTTCTTTTTTTTTATTTTTTATTTTGTTACATAATCTGATCTAATTAATACATATAAAAATATTTGGATTCTTAGTTATTAGGTTGTCCTTCAATTCCTAGATTCGTGCTCGGTTAATTAGAAAGTTAAGATTTGGATCTTGGCCTATTTAATCCCTTGTAACTCTCGTAATGAAATAATAAGAAATTATTTTCCCTTTTCTCATCCATGACTATTCCATTATTGGTTCTAGCTTTTCTGCTACAATGTTGTTCAAGTCTTGGCCTTTATCATCCCTTAGATCCTCACACCCCCGATGAAATCAACCAGATAAAGCTCATAGTTGATAAGTCTAATCTTGGTTCTCTTACTAATCTGACATTTCACTTCGTGGATCTCGAAGAACCAGATAAAAAAGATGTTCTTAATTGGCTATCTTCAAACAAGCAAAATAAGAATGTTCTTACTTGACAAGCCAAGGTGGGGGTTCGAGGGGGAGGTGAGACTCGGGAACTTGTTGTAGACCTGGCCTTTGGTTCAATCAAATCGAGCCATGTCTATACTGGTCATGGTTATCCTCCATTCACGTTTAATGAATTTTTCTAGGCCTCTGCAATACCCCAAGTTCAAGAATTCAATTCTGAAAAGGGTTTAAACTTGTCTGAAGTTTCTTGTGTACCACTCACTGTTGGTTGGTATGCAGAAAAGGTCACAAAAAGAGCTCTTAGAGTGTCGTGTTAATATAGATGAGGCTCGGTTACAATATGTTTGGATTAAGGGGAGAAGAAAGAAAACAAAGGAAAGGAAAGAAAAGTAAAGTAAAGGAATGTAAAGGAAACAAAATCCCAATTCCTTTGTTTGAATAAAATTTTAATTTAAAAAAAGTGAAAGAGGTGAAAATCAAATAACTTTTGATTTCTCTTATAAACTCAATATTTTTAATACCCCAATTTGAAGGAAAAGCTAGGAAAATGAAAGTTGAAAAATAATTTTTTTTATAAAAAAATTATTATGTCCATCTTTTTATTAATACTAAAATCCTAATAAACAAACTTAAATATATCACAATTATCCTGTAATTTTTTCAAAATCATCTATTTTTTCAAGTAAGTTTCATATATCTCTTTCAATATAAAAGTCTTTTTATAAGTTTTTTGTGATTTGATTTTGATAAATGATTGAATATTAATAGACATATTTTTTGAATTTATGCGATGACAGACTAGCTCAAAATCCATAATGAATGTTTGTAAAATATCTTTCTATTTTACTTGATTAAAAATCATTATATAATAGTAATTGTGATGTCAGACAAGATAGCAAATATATCATAATCCAAGATTGTTATAAGATCACATGCAATAAAAGGTTATGATTGAAAAAATTATTATAATGAATCATTTTTTTTTCTTTTTTACTCTTTATCCAAACAATAATTGTTAGAATTTTTTTCCTTTCCTTTATTAATTTTAATTATCCAAACAAATATTACATATATTATTTTCTTTCTTTTAAAAAACTTTCTTTTCATTCTTTTCTTTTTTTTTTATTAATATTTATCCAAACTTAACGTTAATGTCTATGCAAGGCCCATTAAAGGAATTAGTATTTTTGTTGATGTTGATTCAATGCAAATCACAATGTACATTGATAGATTCAAAGTCCCTTTGCCTAAAGCTGAGGGAACTGATTTTCGATCAAACCAGAAGGCTTATTCTGTCACCTGTAATTTGACAGAAAAAGGGTTCAAAATCGAAGGAAACATTGTCAACTGGGGTAACTGGAAATTCCATGTTGGGTTTGATGCTCGGGCAGGGATTGTAATATCAACAGCTTCTATTTTGGATGCAAAAACAAACAAGTCCAGACAGATTCTATATAGAGGTCATGTGTCTGAAACCTTTGTTCCATATATGGATCCTGAAAGTGAATGCTATTTCAGGACATTCATGGATATTGGCGAATTCGGTTTCGGACGATCTGCCAGCACTCTCCAGCCATTAATTGACTGTCCAGAGAATGCTGTATATTTGGAGGGGTATTGGGCGGGAGCTGATGGACATGCACAGAAAATGGAAAGGGTTATTTGTATATTTGAAAGGTATTCTGGTGACATTGCCTGGAGACATGCTGAAATTAATAATCCTGGAAAAGTGGTAAGCTACTCTAGTCTGCCGGTTTTAGTAAGGTTACAAATGATTTATTGATTTTGATTTGAATTGACTTTTTCATTGTTTGACAGATAAGGAGTGGGCAAACAGATAAAAGTTTGGTTGTTAGAATGGTGGCTACCGTGGGAAATTACGATTACGTGCTTGATTGGGAGTTCAAGAACAGTGGCACGATCAAAGTTGGTGTAAGATTCAACCTTAAGTACGGTCGTAAAGGAACGAAATGTTCTCAGGTAAACAAATTTGATTTTTATTTATTTATATTTATTTATTAAATATAATAAATGATTATAAACATTTAAATATTTTTTATATAAACAAATAAATCACGAATATAATAAAATTTATTCATTTTAATTTTTTTTTTACATCCTTGAGATTCAACGTAATTACATGGG